GTATGCTATTAACTAGCTTCCTTCCGACTACTAGGGACGATTATGTCTAGCCCTTTATTTAGCCTTGTGGGGGAATTCTAAATTCAACAAAATTGAAGCGATAAATGATGTCTGTATCCTTCCTCACCTACAGCCCAGAAAAAAATTATTTCACTGACCATTTGTTTGACAAAAGATATTTCTATAAAATAATTTTGTGTCCTTATATATAGCAATAGATATATAAAAATATATTTGGCTAATAAACTACGTAACATCCACAACTTTGTAATAAGAACATATGTAAAAATACTTTAACTTTTGGGTGTACAGAGTTGAGTACGTTATATTAAACCAATTTTAAATGTGCAAATAAGCAAGCTGCATGACAACCATAGCACATGTAAAGGCGTGGGGTTATGGTATTTCTGAGAATTACATTTTGACATCAATAGTCATTTGATAAATAGTATGATGTCACTGCAAACTGATCACTTTTTGGAAGGATATGTAACAGTTCTTTCTGACGCAAAATATTTGAACTCACAGGGCATAAGGATGTGTTCAGGTCCACGATTTAGAATTCCCATGAAAGGAATATACTTTTCAATACATTACATTGAAAAATAAAAGTATGTGGATCAACTTGAAGCACCAGAACCACCCACAAAGAGACCTATAACAAGTCGTACCCTAGCTGTGGTAAGAAAAGCGCAGCGTCTTGTAGCAGGTAAGAATCTACGAACACAAAGGTAAGTGAAAACAGCTCTCTACGTGCCACAGGCATGTGCGCAACGTGATCAAGTAGTATCTCCTTCTGGAAATGAGACCAACAGGATATGAGTTCACCAAGATAAAGCTTCCAGTCGTATCTCCCTTTCAACCGTCGCACATTTCAGGTAACTAGGGAATGAGACAGGTATTCATGCTATTATGTACATAAAAAATCCAGTCAAGTCGCCTGTGGATCTCTGCACGATTGCACCGTTGAAATGCTGGGAAAGTGTTGTCTCCATACACTAGGTGGAATATGGAAAGCCAGCAGAGAGACATGGTGAGCTTTGGACCTGGCAACTTTACGACGGAGCTTTTTGCAACGGAAACTAAGCTTCAAGTAGAACAATCAGTAGATAGAGCACGATTGAACGTGGCGACATGGAATGTAATGATGCGGCGACAGTCCAAAATTCTTTTAATATAACATACTCAACCACTGTGTTGTAAAAAAACAATTCATTAGGAAAACATTAATTCGTTTTTTTTAGGTAATGTGTGGAATTGAATTGGCTGATATATATTAGTTTTAACTGAGAATATAATTCAGTTGCTTAAAATATCCCAAAGATTTACAAATATAATTAGATTGAGACTCCATTGATTAAAAAAGAAAAGGAAACGAGATAGTATTAAACACGAAATGTTAATAAAAATAATAATTTCTGAGTGTATGTAATAATTTCATATTTGGTAAATAGATAACAACTTTTCAAACATTTCCATATTAAACATCAGGTTAATTACGACTATTGCTTTTGTCACAAAGCGCCACCTACCATACTCGAAGGTTTTTACTGTAACAGGATTTGATGCTGGGCCCGAACCCTTCTCATTAAACGCTTGAACAGTCACTTTATATTTAGAATGAGGTTCCAAATTTTCAATGTCCCAATCATGCGTCAGATGGTTTCGAATTTCCACAGTCTTGTACTGAAGTTTTTCACCTTTATCAAGCATTTTATATTTAATGTAGTATCCTAAAACACTGTACTGCTTATCTTTCTGGTGCGGTTCCTGGAATACAGATAACATACGTGGTAATAATGTAGTATTCTAAAACACTGTACTGCTTATCTTTCTGGTGCGGTTCCTGGAATACAGATAACATACGTGGTAATAATGTAGTATCCTAAAACACTGTACTGCTTATCTTTCTGGTGCGGTTCCTGGAATACAGATAACATACGTGGTAATAATGTAGTATCCTAATACACTGTACTGCTTATCTTTCCGGTGAGGTTCCTAGAATACAGATAACATACGTGGTAATAATGTAGTATACTAAAACACTGTACTGCTCATCTTTCCGGTGCGGTTCCTGGAATACAGATAACATACGTGTTAATAATGTAGTATCCTAAAACACTGTACTGCTTATACTTTCCGGTGCGGTTCCTAGAATACAGATAACATACGTG